CAGTGAGCAGCCCCGGTCTGCCTGAGCTGCAAAAGCAAGGTTTCTGCCAGAAAGCCCAGTTCATGGCTGAAAATGTGAGGAAAGTGTGTCTGTGATTATGGCATGTGGTTCAGAACGTTAGAAAATGAGAGAGAGAGGGAGATCTTTGGCTTCCACTCCCCCCTCCTCCCCCTGCCCCAGCCATGGATCTTGCCAGAAAACAGATTCAGGAAAAGAAAGCCTCTTTCTAAACATTGGGTCTGCCTACCTGATTCTGCCATTCATCCAAGCTGTTTCTAGTCTAGAGACTGCCAGGCATCTGCGTTGTTGTAAATTTTAAATCAAGGAGACTTTCACACCTAAAGCCATTTGGAAATGCAAAGTGATACCTGGAGGGACAGGAGCCCCAGTGTTTGACATTGGACTCCATAGCCGGCTTCCCCGAAGCAGGTCCCGGCTTCCGTCTTCCCCTGGGCCAGGGCACGGCCAGGGTGTTGTGTGTGGGATCGCAGCCTGACGTGCCCCAGGGGCCCTCTGGCAGGCACAGCAGCCTCTCCCGGCCGTGTGTGCGGCTGCTCGTTTTATCGTTTTATCGGTGCAGCCTGCCTGGGCCTGGAAGAGAGAGGTCAGCAGGACATTCCCACAGGCTGTCAGCTCTGTGACCTCCTCACCCATCAGGCCTGCCCCTTCTCCAAGCTCATGCTTTTTGCTCATCTTCTTTGAAATCTGAAGCTGTCTTGTAGACAGGCGGCAGTGACCAGAAGCCAGGAATAGATCCCGTATTAAAACAATATTCCTTTTTTTAACTCTCTCTTTCTTGTGAGAGGATTACTCTTACTTATTATAGGCGTTTCCAGCAGGCCTCAGCCTCACTAAGGAGAGCCTTTGTTTCCAATAGTCATTACACTCAAAGCTGTCTTAACCCCAGAGGCCCCTCTGCCTCCCCCTCCCTCCCTAATGATCCTGGTAGAGCTCCAGACTGCAGAGTTCAGACTCCCTGAAAAGCTCCTTTCATTAACATAAGCCATTAATCGACTCCCCCTTGAAGTAATTCTGGTCTGGAGGGGGGAGGGGCAGCCTGGGGTTGGGGCTGGCAGGAAGAGGGTGGTTCCCTGGGGACCCGGCTTAGGGCCAGAACGTCAGGAAAACTCAAACCAAAAACTGCTAAGGTGGCTGGCAGAAGGAAAATCGATAAAGCCTAGATGAGATCTATTAGACCGATAGCAGCAAGGCCGGGAAGGAAACAGGACGTGCTCTCAGGTCTGCCTGTTGTCATGTTGCCAGAGAACAAAGACAGCAGTCACAAACCAAGAAGAGACCCTGTGTGTTATTCTTCTTCCGTGTGGACTTGCTTCTCCACCTCTCCACCCCTTGATTTCTCTTCTTGGAAAGGACATATCTGGGGACCGGAGCAGGAGTATCTTTGCTTTTTGGTTTTTTGTTTGTTTGTTGTTTGTTTGTTTTTTTTAGTTGCATGTAGCCTGTGTGGCAATAACAGCAAAAAAAAGATGTGTGTCTTCCATTCAAAAGAAAAGCAGAAGTGTGCATGGATGCCATACTCTTGTCTTCTGTGATCCCTGACTCTGCTTGCTGGACTGCCTTTCCTTTCAGAAAGATCTCCCATGTCCACAGTAGCTCTGAGTGCATAAACCGTCTCCCAGGCTGCGGAGCTCGGTTTACAGGGAATTTTATAGGAACACTGGGTTGGGTCAAAATAAGGTAAACCAGCAGAACCCCACGGGCCATGAGACCGGCCGTCATACATCCCCTTCCGAAGGGCCTTTCTCGGCCTTCGTGTCACCTAACCCAAGCCTCCCCGGTGATCCCAGAAGGATCTATTCTAATTCCTGGACAGTCAGCAGTCACAAACCTTCTTGGTCACCACCTTTTCCACCTTTCATGCAGTTCTCTCTGCCTCCCGCTGTTCCCACCACCAGGATTATCTAGGAGAGCTCAGGTTCTTCCCAAAGTATGTGGTGTGGCCTGTCCGGCTTGTTCTGGGGTTAGCCAGATTAAGATAGAGCCATGCGATTAAACAGAAACTCTCCATTCTAGCAATGTAGGAGACTGCTGGCACATAGACACACACCCAGCGTCTCATTTCAGCTACAACAGAAGGAAAGTGAGAGTGTGTGCGAAAGCAAAGGTCCTGGAAACAGACCCACTTGCTCCTCTTTTTCTAACTCCTTTTCTACCTAAAGTTTCCTCATAGCTGTTTGAACCAATCCAGAATGTGCCTGAACCCTATTATTACTGCTGGGTCCTCGCGGCAGGAAAGAAAACCCAGCTGCTCCAAACTGTAAATCCTGTACCACGTTACAGCCCCAGCTCCCAGGCAGGCCTGTGCCTTGGAAGCCAAACCCAGCAGCCAGGGGTCTTCTTAGGCCCAGAGTGCCGGCCCTGGGAGATAAGATAGATGGGTCCTAGCCCCACCCCACCACTAACCAATAGTGAGATCCAGATCTTGCTGGGGAGAATGTTAGTCATCGAACAGCCCTCCTCCTCACTTTCCCCTGTCTATAGAGTAAAGGATTGGGACTATTTCAGGATTCTGGAGAATCTTTCTGAAAAGGGGGATTATCTACCTTTCGATGATAAACTCATCATTATAAACACCAAGTAGGTTCAGATTAGAAACTAAAACAGTGGGAAATAGGCATGTATACAAGAGTTTGAGGAGTTGTTTGGGAAGCCCTGGTGGATGGGCGGAGAACATAAGTCTCATGTGGTTTGTGCTTCCTGCCTGGTAAGATCTGGAGCGTTATCTCAATTTAATGCTGGTTCCACCCTTATCTCTGCCCAGGGAAGGACCCACCCTGTCAGGTAGATGACTCTCCAGTCACACTGCTATTGCAGAGGCTGTGACCTCTTTCCCACTTCTCACTTTTTTCTTGAAACTTGTTCTTAAGTAGATCTAGGCCTTCAGAAACAGAGTCATTAAGTGATTTCACCTAAATTAGCAATTGTACCTTCACTTATCTCACCAAATCGGAATTCAGGATTATGCCCCAAAATGACTGAGCTGCTTTTCTGGATGTCTTGAGATAACAAGGGAGAGGTGGGGAAAGAATCGTAGTGACGAAGGGAGAGTCTAAGGTATCACAGAGAAGGTTCCAGTGAAGGAGTAGGGCACCCCTGAGACTTTCTGAACCCCAGGATCCTTTCAAAAGCTTCTCATGGGAATACCTTCTGAGTCCCTCGGCCAAAATAGAATGTTATAGTCTCTTGGTTTTTTTCTATTCGGTATCAAAACGGCCTTTCCCTAGATCTTCACTAAAATGCCTCACCTGTTTGTGTGCTAAAGGCTCTGAAACCAGGGACGTCTGAATTTGGCCTTTACCTGGTATACCGAAAGACAGCTGGTTGGTTGTTTAGGTGCTTATTGGCTATGTAATTGGTTTTCCTTTAACCACTATATCATGTTGAACTTAGTCCAGCTACCAAACCCATGGAAATGCCAGTCACGTTGCAACAGCAAAAAGCAATCTACACAATGGGACACTCTAAAGCGAACTGTGTATTTCTTACAGTGTTTGTTCCTGCCAAGCGAAGTACGTTTTGAGTAAAGCTTCCCTCGCAATCTGTGTAATGTAGACAAAAGAAAGTTGTCAGTGTCTGCTAGGTATTTTGTGTGTCCCTTCACTGTGTCCTGTGTGGAGTGACAGCTGTCTCGCCTTTGGCCTCTCTCAGACAGTGTCTAGAGGTAGTTTAGTAATCCCAGGATTTTGAGTTACAAGGATACAGTTCATGGGTTTGCTTAGACCCGTGTGTTAGGCTAGCAGGGCTAGGGCAGAGGGGAGAGCTGGGCAGAGCATTCGCTGGCCTCGCGTCATCTCATGTGATTATTTGATAAATATTTATTGAGCACCTCCCGTGGGCGTGGTTGAGGCACTGTGCTTCACCTCAGGAAGCTGGGAAGCCTCATACTGACCCAACTCCATGTTGGAGCCCCCTCCTATAAACACAAAGTGTTGTTGTTTTCTGAATGTAAAAGAAGTCATTGCCTACAGTGGATAGTGCAGGGAGTCCTTGGAAATTGGAAATACCTCCGAGAGAAGCAGGAAGTCCTCAATGTCTGGACTTTGTTGAAGGGACTACTAAGCAGTACTGGAAAAATGGAGGCCATGCGTGTGCTATTTCTTTAAATGTTTCGGCAGAAAACTGCCCTAAGGTATTATCCCAGGAAAGGAACTGGCAGCAAAAAAAAGCCCTCTCTGCATAATGATGTTCATTTTTAAAGTCCCAGTGTCTTCCAGGACATTTTGTCTGTTCCCAGAGGGCAGTGCTGGTGTTTCCTCCCGAGCAGAGTCAGCAGAGCCCTCAGCTTCCAGGATGTTTCCTTTCTGATTCTAAGGCTTGTGACTGAGTCAAGTGTCTTTGCAGATATCCTAGAGCAGCGTTTCCCCTCCACCCTCCACAGATAAGCCACTCAGAAAACAAGTTCTGACAGCCAGTGGCAGGAGATTTTCAGATTTCAGCTTAAACCCAGTGCATGGTTGTGGCAAAGGGTCTTGAAGCTGCAAAGGACTTTTGGGGCTCCGAGGGCTCTGATTCCTCTTTAACCCACTGGCAGTGCTGTCCTCTTCACCCGCCCTAGACAGTGCACACCCAGCTTCCTTCCTTTTCCCTCTGTTTTTCCTTCTCCTTCCCTCCTCTCGTCACCTCTGCATCTGGCAGTGTGCAAGGTGAGGCCAGGCTTTACTGGGACTAAAGAATGTGCTGATCCATCCTGCATGTGGTGAAGGCCGGGGAATAGAACACATGAAGAATGTGAATGGGAGCAGGGATGTGAGCTCTAGACTCTTGGCCTTGACTCGGCTCCCTGTACCGGGCCAGATCTCCCACTGCTTCTCCACTCCTGTGGGAGATAGATAGATAGATAGATAGATAGATAGATAGATAGATAGATAGATAGGCACCACTGTCATAAAACCTCAGAGATGCCCATCCCTCGGAATCCATCGGGCCCACAGAGGGTCTTACTTGGTGCGGAAGGCTGGGTGCTTTGCATTCCGATTTAAATGCTGACATTGCAGAGTTTGCCCCTTTCTGCCTGTCCTGCCGCAGTCATGCTCCCTGTGGAGTCAAGAGGGCCCCGAACTAGAAGGAGAAGAAAGCAGCCTCAGCCCTCTGTTCAGACACAGCATTTAACGCCAGGACAGCGGCCTGCCCTGGAAGCAGGGGTGCAGGGTCCTAAGCAGCTCTCAGGTGCCTGGAGCGTGACTGGCCACGCCTGCCCAGACCCAGGCCACACCAAAGTGAGCCCCGGGGGTTGTGTGTCAGCATTGCCCGTAAGACAGGAGCAAGAAAAGGCAGGCATAGCAAGCTCAACCTCCTGTCGTCACACACAGTTTCTTTCTGCATTTGTATTGATTGAGAAGAGGACCCACAGGGAAGAGAACCCACCGCTTTCTGTGGGAATGGTGCCTTCAGGGAGAACACACAGAAAACGGGCTATTTTATTATGTGCAAACAAACATACGCTTGTTTGAAGTTACAGAGTATCTCCCCTCACACCCACATGGGCATCCAAGGAGGAAATCCCTTCCTTGCCTTTGACGTTCGCCAGAACTGTCTCGATAGAACAGGACAGATTAATAGCTTAATCTCATTTCCACCACCGTTGCTATACATTCATTGAACGGCATCTATGTCTTAAATCAAACGGAAGAAAAAAAAGAAATGTTCTCTCTTGCTATGTGCGTCCAAAACGTGGCCGTGTGTCCTCGCCCCGACCAACCCAAAACACACTGAACAGATTGCGTGTCCTTCATGGATGTCCAGATCCTGTAAATAAAACCCTGGGAGAGCCTTGCCTTTCAGGTGAACCCCCATTTCCACAGGCTGAACCTCAATCCTCTCTCCTCGCACGGAGATCTTGGCAATGGTCCTGTCCTTGGTTTTGGTGTTTGGGTGTCTTGTTTTGTCTCATCTTGTGTCTTTTCTGTGTTGACTGCTCTGTAAGACCTCCTGCTGTGAATGTCCCAGTTGCCCCCATTGTACTCTCTTTCTATATATGTGCTGCATGTGCGAACCCTAATAAATTCTGTCCCGGGTTTCTGGAGTCTTCATCTTAAGTGCAGCTGGTCTTGTTGTGAACTCATCATCCTGGTATGCTCCTCTGCGTCTGTTTCCTGATTGCCAAAACATTTGACCACGTGTGTTTTGACGAGCATCCCGAGACAGCCATGTGTATCCTTGTGGAAGGGCATGCTCCCTGGAGGCTGACTCGTATACAGCGTAAATCCATCCGATGTGGACGTGTGTATACATGTATATGCCAGATACTTAACATTCATGTAGCAGCTGCAAAGATATGTAATGTACATCCAATTAATAAAAAGAGCAAATTTTTTTTTTTTTGCTCCGTTATATTCAAATAAAGATTGCTGTGTGACTGGCTTCTCTTGCAAGCATGGATTGACCCTAAAAAAAAAAAAAAAGAAAAGAAAAGAAAAGAAAGTACTTTGTAAAATGGAGATGGTGAAAACCTGTTTCCCTTGATTCCGGCTGACTTGAATTGTGTCTGTGGGCCGGTGTCATGGGCATTGATGTATTGTTGATTTTACAGGAACACTTTCTGATGGTTGGCCAGGACCACTGGGAAGAAAATGTTGGCGGGGAGTTTGTGGCAAAGCAGATGCTTGTGTTCTTTTGCCCCCGATCAGGAATAGCAAACAGATTTGTAACTAGCATATGGTCTCCGATTGATTGGTCGTGGCTGCTTGGAACACGAGTTTGAGAAGAATGATGAGAAAAAGAGCGCTGTTTTGTAGCATGGGCATCAGAGGCAGACACATGGACTGTCTGCCACGGATTTGCTGAGTACTCTCGACTTCATTTAAAAGGAGACCCAGCTTCAAGTCTCTTTACTAATAAAGGGAGTTGTTACGCACATAACAAAGAAGGTAGGACAATTCCTAACTTGGGTACGAGGTGGCTTTGGCAACATTATCTAAGACCCAGGTTCTTTCTGTCTTTTAGATCAGCCATCCCTGGCTCACTGCCTTTTGCCTCCTCACGGGCTTCAGATGGTTTCAGCAATTCTAAGCATCATTTCATCACACAAATATCTTAAGGGCCACGAGAGGTACCATCCCCTCTTTATGACCCTTTTTTTTTTTTTTTTTTTTTACCATTAAAGGGATCGTTCTCAGAATCCTCCAGCAGACTCCTCCTCTGGATGGATTTGTACCATTTGCCGACTCCTAAGCCAGTCACTAGCAAGGGGAATATAATTCCCACCACTGGCTTAAACTACTCAAGATTCCCCTCCCCCCAGAGAACTTGAAAGGACCTCACCCTTCCCTGAAGCACAGGGCTTCGGACTATGTGAACAAAATTGGGCTTTAGCAAGCAAGGAAGAAGGAAGGTAGCTACTGAGTAGGCTAGCAACCATGGGCTCCAGAACTGAGCCATTTCATGCTGTGGCCACATGCCACTATTAATATTTAAGCTTAAAAGAACTGAAATTAAATTCAGTTCCTCGGTCACACTTAGCCACATTTCAGGTGCTCGAGACTTGTGACTGCCATGAGACTTGTGACTGCCATAGAACATTCTATCATCAACGACAATTCTGGAAAACACTATCCTGGCTAGGCCGACGTGGCTCAGTGGTTGAGCATCAACCTATGAACCAGGAGGTCACTGCTCCATTCCCAGTCAGGGCACATGCCCAGGTTGCAGGCTCGATCCCCAGTGTGGGGCATGCTGGAGGCAGCTGATCGATGATTCTCTCTCATCATTGATGTTTCTTTCTCTCTCTCCCTCTCCCTTCCTCTCCGAAATCAGTAAAAATATGTACATATTTTTAAAGTTTAAAAATTAAAAAAGAAAACACAAACGCTGGATGCTGAGCATTCACACCCCTCTGCAGCTGTCCTTTCTGCTGGGGCTGCTCCCACTTCCTCTAGCTTCTTTTCCACCCCTCTCCCCCTCCACCGCTACCACCGCGCCGGAGCCCTTATTTTTGCTGCAGTAGCTCTGTTTCCCCCTCTTCCTCCAGCAGAAATGCCCATCTCCCCGCCAGTCTTCCCCCTTTCCCAGGCCCCAGCCCACCAGCCCCAGGACCTAGTTAATATTCGAGAACAGTTACCATATGCCTCCCCTTTCTGTCTCTCCTGCTGCATGACCAGGGGCAAGAAGTCTCCACAGGCAAACACCCCCAGGAGTGCCGGGATGACAGCAGGCACGGAACGCGCCAGATGCTGGGTGCGCCTGGCGAGGATCACTGTGAAGTGGAAGGAAGCATCCACAGGCCTGGCCTGGACCTGTGGCTGCAAAATACCAAATGTGAAATGTCTAACAGTCGGTGTGTTAAAACAAGGCCACAGAGGTCCTGAAGGAACAGCTTTTTCTCCTGATTGCTGTCCCAGGCAATGAGGTCACGAACATCCATGTTAGTTTGCTAGGGCTACTCTAAAAAAGCACCACGGACTGCTACAGGCTATCACAGCAGGAGTCAGTTTCCATATAATTCTGGAGGCTGGATGTCCAAGCTCAAGGTGTAGGCAGGATTGCTGTCTTCTGTCTCTCTCCTTGGCTTTAGATGGCTATCTTCTCTTGTGTGGTCACATGACTTCTCTTGGTACAAGTCTGTGTCCTAATCTCCTCTTCTATGAGGCCACTACTCATGTTGGGTTTGGACCTGCTCTACTAATCTCTAGTAACTTAATTCTCTTTTTATTTTTTATATATATTTTATTGATTTTTTTACAGAGAAGAAGGGAGAGGGACATCAATGAGAGAGAAACATCGATCAACTGCCTCCTGCACACCCCCTATGGAGATGTACCTGCAACCAAGGTACATGCCCTTGACCAGTATCAAACCTGGGACCCTTCAGTGGGCAGGCCAACGCTCTATCCACTGAACCAAACCAGCCAGGGCTTAATTATCTATTTAAAGACCCTGTCACCAAATGCAGTTACGTTCTGAGACACTGGGGTTAGGAGTTCAACAACATATGAAATTGAGGAGGTGCAAAATGCTACATTTGTAATTGTGTAGAGTGTGTTGTATGTGTATATGCTTTGCACAGAATGTGGTTGAATATGCTTGCGGTCACATGGAAGAACAGCAGTGTGTTGTCAGCATAAGAACAGCCAAACCTGTAGAACATTTTTATAAAGGTTTATTAGAGCCAAACAGATACCAGGTCCGGAAGTAAGATTTCAACAGACTGAGAAAAATGCTTCTGATAAATGTCATTTGCAGTTGTTGTTGTTTTATATATATATATATATATATATATATATATATATATATATATATACATTTTATACATTTGGAATGAAGGAGGGACTGTAGGAAAGATTACGTGAAGTAGAAGAGAGCAAGTCAGGGACATCTCTGGTTGAATTACAGGAGAGTTAACAAGATTTTATGCTCTCTTGAGGATGGTTACACTTTCAAGGGATCTGAAAAGAAGGCATTTCAAAGGTGCATTAACAGACATGCACAAGAACAGTGGACAGGGCTTGCATCAGGCAAAGATAACATCTCACTAGGGAGGTTACAGGCCTGAGGCGTGACTGCTTACCGTGACCTGCCCCGGAATTTATGATCCGATCGCCCTGTGCAGCTACTTGCCATTAGATTTATTCCAGAGCCCACTTCTCCTCTACAGGGTGTGCTCAGTCTTGTGTGAGGAATAACCCCAGGGCCCTGCACTCAGGAGCCAGAAGCAGATACTGGGGACAGCCCAGGGCTGTCCTCAGACTGGTACTTCTGCCTCCTTCAGCCTCTCCACATATTAAATTCCAAACAAGACCTTGGTCTCTATGCAACAACTTTATTTTATCCTGGAGTTGGTGAGTGCACTGTTGCCTGTCCTGCACCACAGCCTCTGAGCAAAGCAGCCCTTCTGTGGCCTGTCTCTGGTGAAGCTTCCTCTGGCCTGGAACCAGCTGTGCCCTGGTTGGATGTGAGCATAGGCAGGAGGGGGCACTTTTCTGGAGCTGGGGGGACCTGTCAGCCTGTCACTATGCCCTCTCTTTGTTGTATGGGGAGAACAGATACATCTTCATCCCCTGCAGTTCGCTGTCCAGACACCAGGGGGAGAAGTGAAAGCCACAAGGAGACAAGTTCCTGCCGCCAAGGCAGGTTCCAGCCCTGCAGCCGCAGGGGCTCCCTGGGACCAGAATGAATGAGGCCTGTGGTCTGGGATCCGGGAGCACACAGTCAGCACCAACCCTGACTCAAGTGCACCAGCGGCCACCTGCCTGCAGTCCTGATTCTGGGTCCAGCACCACAAAGCCCAGGAGGCAGACCAGAAATGCACCCAAAGCCTTTGGACTGAGATGTCCAAGGAAGTCTCAGCGAATTCCGTTTTGGATGGGCCTGTGAGGAAAGCTGCTGCACATTACAAAACCATCAACGACTCCTGAGCTGCCCCCACCTCTCTCTTGGGCTTTGAAAACACGGACATATCCAACCATAGGCCCAACCTTCGCTGCGAAGTCGCACCTTCTTCAGCATCCTGCCTCCA